AGTCCAGTGACAGTTTATTCCCAATGTATTTAAACCCAGTTTAATTTGGAAAAATAATTTCCTGGTATAAGACAATTCCCTTTGCACAAGGAAGTAATTACACTGAAACACAACTCAGGGCACATTTCTTCCAAGAAGATGGGATCTGGAGATACACTACCTGTACTCGATTAAGGGTCTAAGGGTCTGACCTGGTCTCAGTCATACAGATAGCATAGAGGTCATTTGGCCTATTAGCCACCTCTGGTCCTAGTTGTGGGAACTTGGGGGAGCCTCTGGCTATCAGGGTCATTTAGATTACAAATCACCTCCAGTCCTGGTTGTAAGAGCTTGATGTGGCCTGGACCAACAGATAACACAAATCACCAGGCTTTTTATCACTCTCAGCTCTTGGCTTTCTGGGTGGAAGAACAGGTTTTTCATCTTTCCATGGAAAGACAATCCTGTGTGATTAACATTCCTGCTTTCTCTGGACCTTTCTGCTATGCTCCCAACACATATATTGTTTTTTTCCAGGGCTTTGCACACGTCAAGAGGAAAAAGAAATGTAAAGTGCTGTTGATGGAATAAAAAAACAGGAAGAAACAAATATAACAATAACTATAAAAATAAAGAGATTGCAGACAGCTACATTTCTAGAATTAGGAGAAAAAATTCCTCATCTTTTAAAAATGACTTATTTATTTTTATTTATGTATATTTCTGTGAGCTTGCATGAGTATATGTGTGTGTGCAGGAGTCCATGGAGGTCAACTGGGAGTATGTCCAAAGTTCTTCCGATTCATTATGTAAACCAGGTGACCTGAAACTCACGCCATCCTCTCTCTCTGTTTCCTGGGCACCAGGATTTATAGGCGTGATTTCTACATTTCCAGCTTCCTGGGGAAAGTTCCACCTGGTGGCCTGGACACAATGAATTAACTTATTTCCAAAGCCTATTGTTGATGTCAATCCCCCCAGGAAGTATTTGTTAGCCCCCCCCCCCCCGCGCCCCAGCATCTTACTCTGGAACTTCTGTCAATAAATTATCCAGTCACGGGGACTTGAAATTTGGGACTGGATTTAAAGTCTTTCCTCCCCGTCATCCAGTTCCCTTTACCCAACCAGTTATCTGAAATTCACACTGTCTTCATTGTTATTTTATTCCTTCCATTTTAACAAAGTTTATCTGGGGGGAAAACAAGAAGAAAGGGCAGAAATATTGAAGAGAAATCTTATTGGGTGATGGTTGCCTTTGGCTTCTGTGGGCGGTAAGAAGACAGCCTACACCAGTATCACACCCTGCACACAACAGGTGGGGTCCGGGATAAAGTATCAGATACTAGGAAGGTTGCGCTGAGCTGGGAGAGTGAAAGGAAGAGACTTGTTCTCAGGAGCTCTGCCCACTCTCACTCCTGTGCGGTGGGCTTCTCTTTCTTCAGCGGAGTGGGCTGGGAATGGTGTGTGTCCTGTGCAATCAGAAATGGCCCCTGGGGTCCCATGGCTGTCACATTTCTGCACAGTTTTCAGCTGAGCAAAACATTGGAGGTTGTTAGCACATCTCCCTGTGGAGCTGAAACTGGGCTCAGCACCAGCAAGCACACTCCAGAGACTTGTCTGTCCTCCATGCTTGGCTAACAGCTATTCCCTGGTGCCCAGGCAAGAATTAAGTTGAGTGTGTGCCCTGCACTCTGTTTCATACTGTGTCCCAAACAGCTGGCTCATTAATGCAATTTAGAAGGAAGAGAGAACTGGCTGTTTACCATTATATCTAAGGGATTTGTAATAAATCTCTCAATAAGGAGGTATAAAAATTCCCTGTTTCTGTGCAACCAAAGGAAGCAGAGCATTAGGTAGAAGCCAGTGAGCATCATTAGCTACAGGATCCAATACAGAAGGTCCAGGGGGACTCGCCCCACATTTCTGTCAGTAATAGCTTTTCTTTTACCTGAAATATGCTGGTAATTTTCTCACTTGTGAAATTCAGTTCACCTAAAGACTAATAAATATACTGTTTCTTAAGCTTTAACTGAATCTCTTCCATGCTCTGGATGCTACATAAAAATAAAGCATCATTTGTTACCCATTTTTCTTTTGTGCGCTCTTACTTCTGAGACGATGGGATACAGTCAGTAGAGGATGATGTCTTCTCAGAAGAAGGAAATAATATGACCAACTGTTTCATATAATTTTGTTATATGTGTGAAGGTCTCTCTGTGTGTATGTATGTCTGTGTATACCTATGTACATGTGTATGTATGAAATGCTTGCTCTAAAGTTCCGTCCAATAGAGAGCTGATGACAATGAAGAAGTGTGAATTACAGTCCTGGTGTGGTGGTGAACAGAAAGGTTGAGAGGACCAGAATGAGGGCCTGCAGCCAGAGGGTTACAGATGCTCGCTGGTCACCTGTCTAGACTCCAGGTTCAGTGAGAGTCTGTTTCAAGGTTCCCGCCTTTGTGCACAAATAGGCAAAGGTGCCCCCCAACACACACACACACACACACACACACACACACGCACGCACGCACGCACGCACGCACGCACGCACGCACGCACGCACGCACGCACGCAGGCACGCACACACGCTTACATGTTGAGTGTTTGTGGGTGTTCTGTTCTGGTGTTTTGCCCTAGTCCTGGAGCCTTCTGGTTAAACACAAGGGCTAGTGAGTACAATTATTTATTAAGGTAATTTTATTTTGAAATTAACTTAAGTTAAAATAAAACAAGTGTTTAAGAACGATGAGATTATAGAAGATCAAAATTATGGTTCCAGTCATATACAAATTAGTGTGCAATTAAGAACATAATAGCATTTTATAGTCAAAGATACACACACATTACTGAAAGATATATTCCTTTACATTTTTTTATTTTTGGTTTTTCCAGACAGAGTTTCTCTGTGTAGCTTTGGTGCCTATCCTGGCACTCGCTCTGGAGACCACGCTGGCCTCGAACTCACAGAGATCCACCTGCCTCTGCCTCCCAAGTGCTGGGATTAAAGGCGTGCACCACCAATGCCCGGATTCCTTTACATTTTATTTGCTATATTTTAAACAAATAGGAAGGGAAAGCCTATTTTACTAGTTTCACCAAAATACTTGAGGTGATTATAGAAAACAGTAATACACTGTATATTAAGAAGGGTACAAGAGACTTTCTGTTTTGTTGGATTCCATTGTGTATCCATTACACACAGTACTTTTACATACAGGGATTTTTGATACAAGTACGTACTGTACATTGAGCACACACACTCCACACAGCCTTATCCCTGCTTTCTCAGCCCTCCCCACGTTAGTCTCTTTGTTCCCCGATTCAGTTTTGCTTCTACTCTCATGTCATGTGTGTGTATTTTATGTGCTGAATTAAAATCTAGAAACACAATGGAGAGAGAACATGCTGTTTGTGTTTTGGAGGCTGGCTTGATCCCCTGTCTGTGATTATCTCCAGTTGCATTTGTTTTCCTGTGGATGACGTAAGTTCATTCTTCCTTATGGCTGAAAGAGTTCCATTGTGTAGGTCCACCGTATGTTACTTAACCATCCCCCTGCTGTTGGGCACCTAGGTCGGCGTCATGATGTCTGTTGTGTACAGTGCTGCAGTGAACATTGTGCAAGTGTTTCTGTCTTGTGTTGACTTAGGGACCTTTGGGTAAATACCCAGGAGTGGTGTAGTTGGGTCATATGGTAGGTGTGTTTTGAAGATTTTTAGAAGCCTCTTTCTGATTTCCATAGCGGCTGTGCTATACATTACTATTATTGGTGTACAAAGGTCCCATTATGTCTGTATACTTACTAGCATTTGTTGTTGTTTTCTTAATGGCTGACGTTCAGGCTGGAATGATGATATATTTTTAATTTACACTTCTCTGATGGCTAGTGAACTTAAAGCTTTTTTGTTTATTGGACATTTGTATTTCATCTTTTGAGAGTTGTCATTTCATTATTCTACCAATCCATGAACATGAAAGGTCATTCTGTCTTCTAGTATTTTCTTCAGTTTTTCAGTGTTTTAAATTTTTCATTGTGACATCCCTTTCTTCATCAGGTTTGCTTCCAGGGTGTTTGTTTCCTCATTTGTTTTGAGGCTACCATAAATAATACTGTTTCCCTAATTCTATCTCGGAGTATTTATTGTTATTAATACTATCTATTAATATTGTATCATGTATCTCAGCCATTTGCTGAGAAAAACACTATCAGTCTAAAAATTTTCTGGTGGAACCTTTAGGGGATCTTCTGAACAAAATTCCATCATCTACAGATAAGGTTGTTTTGACTTCTCACTTTCATACTCATATCCCTGTTATCCTTCTCAGTTACAGTGTTTGAACTAAGACTTCAGGAGCTACACTGAATAAGAGCTGGTCTCCATTTAGCACAATGGTGGCTGTGGGTTGCTGTCTATAACCTTTACTGTGTTGAGACATGCTCCTTCTAGTTCTAGTCTTTCCAGGCTTTTATTATGATGGAGTCAAGAGTGATTGTTATTCTTTTCTGATATGCCTGTCCCAACATTCCCGAGCTCAGCCCAGAGTCCCTATACCCTTCCACATTTCAATGGAACGAATAAAATGGATAAACACCCTATAAGAGACACTTAGGCCTCATTCTGTTCACATTTATTATGATCGCCTCTGGCAGCCATCTTTGTTTTTGCCAAAGGTTTGAGTTTATTTCCTCCAGAATAGCTTCCCTAAAATGAAATTACTAGATCAAAATGTAATGAATATTTTAAAGCTCTGATTTCTAAGTAGCATATTTCCAAGTAGCTTTCCAAAAAGTTATTAATTTACCTTACACTAGCAATATGTAAGAATTATAGTATTACCCTAGGCTTAATGAGCTGCTAATAAGATTACATTACTTTCATTTTTGTTTATTTCATTCCCAGCAGGCTAGAAAGTTTTTGTAAGTATTTATTTATAATGTATTTGTGCTCCCATTTCTTATCTGTTGTCGTCTTATCAGTTGAATAGTCTGAACTCTGGCTTTCTCCCTTTATTGCTTTATTCAGGCTCCCATGATTCATTCAGCTACTGGGTAGATGAAAAGTCCCCAGTGGGGCCTGACCAAACCCAAGCTGTCAAACGCCTCGCCCGGATCTCCTTGGTAAAGAAGCTAATGAAGAAATGGTCTGTAACTCAGAACCTGACCTTCCGGGAACAGCTGGAGGCTGGGATCCGCTACTTTGACCTACGTGTGTCCTCCAAGCCAGGGGACACTGACCAGGAGATCTACTTCATCCATGGGCTCTTTGGCATCAAGGTTTGGGATGGATTGATGGAGATTGATGCGTTCCTCAGTCAGCACCCTCAAGAGATCATCTTCCTAGATTTCAACCACTTCTATGCCATGGATGAGGCCCACCACAAATGCCTGGTTCTGAGGATCCAGGAGGCCTTTGGGAACAAGCTGTGCCCAGCCTGCAGTGTGGAGAGCATGACACTGCAAAGCCTGTGGGAGAAGAAGTACCAGGTAAGAGGGAAGGAGTGATGTGCTTCTGAGAGCAAGAACTTAACTTAACTCCCTGTTTTCCTTACCTGTAAAATAGCTCAACCCAATCTAGCCTTCCAGCCCCTAAGCTGGACTGTGGGATAGCTACAAGAGATTCAGTGGGCCTTGTGGAAATGGGATTAACATTTGGTGTCTTAGTTACTTTTTTATTGCTGTGATAAAACACTATAACCAAGGCACTGATGAAAGAAAGCATTTAATTGGCTTATGGATTCAAAGGGCTAGGGTCAGGGACAGCAAAGCAAAGGAAGAAGTGAGAACTCACATCTTGGTCCACAACCAAGAGACAAGAGAAAGAAAACACTGAGAATAGTGCTTTAGTGCAACTTTAGTGAATGCTTCCTCCAACAAGTCCATACCTCCTAATCCATACCAAATGTTGCCACCAACTGAGGACCAAGAATGCAACTCTATGAGCCTACATGGGTCATTCTTCTTTGACTACCACACTCCACTCCCTGGTCCTCATAGACCGGTAGCCATATCATAGTGCAAAATGCATTTGATCAAAATTCAAAAGTCCCCATATTGTTTCACAGTCTCAAGAGTTTAAAAGTCTGAAGTCTCTTCTGTGACTTAAGGCAATCTCTTTTAACTATAGCCCTGTAAAATCAAAAGATAAAAGCAAATTACCTACTTCTGGCATGCAATGGCACAGAATGTACATGACCATTCCCAAAGAGAGGAAAAGAACCAGAGTGGAGAAATATTGGACTAAAGCAAGACTAAAACCCAGCAGAGAAATCCTTCCAAATCCTATAGCTCCGTGTCCAATGTCAAAGGATTTCCATGGTTCTGCCCTTGCAGCTTTATTACTTGCAACATACTCCTCTCTTTTGATCTAGTTTCACTCCTTGTATGCAGCTCTCTTTGACAGACATCCTATGACTCTGGCACCTCGAACACTTTTGTGTCTCTAACACAATCCAGGCTTCTCTTTCACAGCTTTGCCCTCTCGGGGCCTTCATTCAGGGACTCCCCCACCTCAGGCCTGGCTTCAATGGCTCTCCTTCACTGATAAGGAAGATTCCATAACCCCTTCCTCCTGATTCCTTCAAGACTGTAAAGCCAGAACCATGGGGATGACACTGCCAGGTTTGACTACCAGTTTGGCACCCTGGAAGCATATTTGTAGCAGCTTTGATTTGTTGCTGCTATTGTGGAGCAGAAAATTCCTTTTTTATAAGTTGAAAGCTTATCTGGATGAAGTCACACCCTGGAGGCACCCCTCCCTTTATTCCATTTCAGATCAGGCCTCTCTTAAATCTTCTTATATCTTTCAGCACAAGTCTTGGCTCTAACATTAGATTTCCTGGTGCTCATTTTCCTCTTTAAACTCTATATTTTATATTTCTCTTTGCCCCACATGCTCCTTTTCATTGTAGACATGTATAAGCATAATTACTGTATTAGTGTGAGAACCACCTGACAGAGTCACTGTTTAGCTGTCTTGAAATCTCCTCTGCCAAGGAAATTAGTTTTTTGTTTTTCAGTTTAGCCTTAGGAAAATTCACAAGACAAAGACAAAAATAGCCACATTCTTTGCCAAAATACCACACTTGGGGCTCTAGTCTAGTTGTTAATGTTGTTGCCTTCTGAAATGAGCTGGAACAAACATTTCTACCTAATGGGGACCAAATATTCAAATATATGGGGGGTGGGGGCATTCTCATTCAAACCACCATACCTGCCAAATGAAGTCTATCTGCAGTCTATTTGACATCTAAATTTATTTTGAATGACTTGGCTAATATCAGCCCAAGGTCAAGTTGTAAAATAAACCAGTTGGTCAGTAAAGCATTATTCTGTCTCCTCTAATGTCTGATTAATACCCACTATCCATGTTCTTCCAGTAAAGATGAGACTCCAAACCTATACCCCTGAGGAACACACTCAGTAAATGGATAGGCCTCAGATGCTTTCTGATCCCAGAATATGGCTGCAGCAAACAAGAGCTTCAGGAAAGGTCAATCTCTGATTTAAACTTTCCCTGAGAAAAATAAAAAGTATACATCCATTCAGAGTTGTTCCAGTCCTGTTTAAGCACAATAAGAAAAAAATATTTGTATGTGTGTTTTGTTTCTTTGTGTTGGAGAAGGACCTCAGGTCTTTGTACATGCTAGGCAAGCAGCTCTACCAACCAGGCAAGTGCCACATCCCTGGCCCTATGAAAAATGTACTAAAGTATTTTGTGAGGCCTAGAGAGATGTCTGAGAAGTTAAAAGCACTTGTTCTACAATCAAAGGGACAGGTGTTCTGATCTCAGCACCTGCATAAGAAGCCAAATGTCCCCCACAGATGGCTGTAACTCCAGCTCCATGTTGAGGTGGGTTACTGGGGCTTGTGATCTTCCAGCTTAGCCAAGAGAATGTGAGTCTCATGTTCGGGGAGAGACTCTCTCTCAAAGGAATGATGAAGAGTGACAGAGGACTCGTGTTCTCCTCTGGCCCTAGTGTGCATGCAAAGCTCACATGTACATAACACTCATAGGCACACACACGAACACACACACAAATAAATAAAAATTTTAAAAAGAACTGTTAAATTCAAAGAGGAACTTCATGTTGGAAATAAGCTCAGTTATCTGTTTATAAACAATTGTTGAGCACCAAGTAGAAATGATTTTTTCCCCAAATATTTATTACATCTATCCTCCTATACCTAAGTTTAATACTCTTAGATTCACAGGTTTAATTTTGTTTATTTATTTGTCATGAAGTCTGACTATGATATAATCTAGGCCTGCCTGAATTCTTGAAATACCATCTTGGTTTTATTAATATACCAGAATGTGCTAGATTAAATTGTTTGATTTTCTCAACAACACTGTGAGATAGGCATTTTCTATTTTGCATACCTCACCTCCAACCCCAGAGCTGAAGACCAAACCCAAGGCCTGTACTTCCTATACAAACAGTCTACCACTAAGCTTAACCCCAACCCTGAGATAGGCATTTGTTATTCACACACACACACACACACACACACACACACACACACACACACACACCATTTACAGATGGCAAAATTGAGAAATGGAGAGACTGGAGCAACTGGCCAAGGCAGCACTGTGAGTGAGTGGTGTGGGCCGGCCTTCTTTCACTGGCTGGCTCCTCTCTGGTATTCCCATAACTCCTGCTGTTCCCTGAGGCCTTGCCTCAGGCCTTGTTGATTTCACTACTGCTTTCTTGTGTTGTGAAAGAGAAACACTCTCTTCATTGAGAACCTGTCCTCAAAGGGCCCCAGACTGTTCCCATTGAGAAAAGGGAGATGGTGTTTGAATGTGGGGATCAGGTAAGGTTAAGTATGAGGTTGGGTAGCATCCTATAATTTGGCATGCAAAGGACATTCTGCATGGCTGGCAGACATAAACAGGAAGGTCCCTGAAAGCCATTGGTCAGCCAGCCTGGCTCTATAGAGCTTTCGATTCGCCAAGAGACTCTGTCCCCAAAAATCAGGGAACAGAAGGGGTTCGGCACATAAGGGACTTGCTGCCAACCTTGACAACATGAGTTTGAGCCCAGGACCCATAGGGTAGAAATAAAGAACTGAACTCTGAATGCTCTCCTCTGACCTCTACATTAAAAAAAAAAAAAAAAAAAGAGAGAGAGAGAGAGGATATCAAGGAAAGATACTCGTCATCAACCCTGTGCCTCCACACATGTGCACACTCAGGCATTCAAATCTACATGCACACAAGCATATACCCATGCTAACAAGTACATATACCATTAAACACACACACACACACACACACACACACACACACACACACACACACACACACACACACACACACACACACACACACGAGACAGACAGAGAAAGAGGGGGGGGTAGGTGGGTAATTTAGCTACATTGTCCACTAAAAATAGTCTTAAAGTTATGCTGGAATGAAACTGGAATGATATATTAGCAAAAGGGAAAAGGTTGCCATTTAAGTTCTATGCCTTCCCTTGATTCCTGTGTCTCCTATATGTCTACTTTAAACAGAAGAGCACTCAAAGCTGTGTCACACTTGGGTCAAGCTTTAAATATTCATTATGTAATGAACTGCCTTGCACATATCACCGCCCCTCCCCCTGCCCCGGGGTGTTTTATTACTGGAATTTATATCAGGAAGTACTCTACCACCAGTCACGTTTCATTTACTCACCATGTAATTATGTCACAACTCACAGATGATATCTGCATACTTTAGTAGATAAGGTTTTAAGGGCACAAAGAATTAGAGGATTTAGCTGACAGTTTGGAAGTATTTGTGATCTTAACGAGAAGGATACATAACTCTAGTAAAATACAAAACCATCAAGCTGGACGTGGTGGTGCACACCTGTAATCCCAGCTCTTGGGCTGAGAAAAGCTCTGAGTTGGAGCTACATATTAAATTCCAACCCAGAGAGGGCTACACAGCAAGACCTGTCTCAAAATCCCAAACAAAAAGGACAGCAAGAGGGCTCAGGGGTTAAAAGCAGTTTCTGTGAAAACCTGGGGACCCAAATCCAACTTCTGGAACCCATAGTAGGAGAGAACCAACTCCTGGAAGTTATATTCTGATGTCCACATGTATACCATGGTATGCACACACCTGCAGACAATAATAATCGTAATTCCTAAACATAATTTATCAATCCAAGATAATAATAAACGAAAATGATCAAGCTGCATTTGTAGGATCAGACATGTCTGGTGTAAGGGGTTTTGTAATAGGTTGAGAAGTAGAGCACACCATGAATCTGCATCCCAGAGGCTCCCAGTAAAGCAACTGCCACAGTAAGAAGAGGTCACCCAAGGGACTGTTCTTAAATGAGATTTTCCATTTTAGTCTCATGAGAAAGACTGGACATGAACTGCTGAGCTGGAGGGGAAATATTTCAAAGAAAAATAGCACAGGGAGATGAGGAGGGACCACGCCCTCGAAGGCGTGGTCAGTCATACCTGTAGCCAGCCCCTACAGGCGTGGTTAACGTGTCCCCTACAGGAGAGTCTCTGAGATTCTCTGATCAAGCTCAACAGTGTCCCTGAACCTGTGTTCAGACTGCCCAAGAAGCCCCCTTCCCAGGGGTTGAGAAGGACAGAAAGCCCCTTTAGTGTAATTTGTACTAAATACACATTTTCTGAGGCAGAGTAAAGTTGTTACCGTCTTCTAGTGCATGGATGCAGGCCCAGGGGCGGATGTCTTGGGTACCACCTGAGGGGCCTGTCACAGGGCTGCCCAGCCTCCTGCCCACCCCATAGCCCCAGCCCACTGTCCAGGGCAGCTCTCCTTATGGGCTTCACCCTTCTAAACCAGCTAGTTCCAATGCCAGGAGGAAATCTTTGGCTCTCCCCAGCAATCAGCTTACAGTGAGCCTGTGATTAACCTCATTAACACACGAGGTTACTACAGTCATCATCCGAGCCCAGCATTACTCAGGACCATTAAGAACTAAGAAAGTAGACATTACTCCCTTTGCAGCCCCCTGCCTGGCACTCCCTGCCTCCGGGCTTACAGAAGGTCAGTCACCAGCATCGTCCACTGAACACACTGGAAATGAGATGAACATATGGAATCCCTGCTCCTGAATGCCTGCAGGACAACTCTGAGGATTCCAGTCCACAGTGTAAACATGAGCTAGCTGGGCATTCCTCTGGGAAGATCTCACCCGTGCCCCTAAAGGGAAAAAACGCTGCTCTTCTAGAAAGCCACACAGCAGAGCTCACAATTGGGACAGTCAGAAGAGCAATTGTGTCCCCCAGCTGCCTCTCAGAAGCTAATTAATGCTGTGGATATAGCTTGCTAATTCTTTTTCAAATTACCACCATCTCGAATGGCCCCCCTGGAGGCCCATGGCTTCAGTAAAGTCTTCCCTGATGGTGGTGGCACATCGGTTTCCTCCCCTGGGAAGGGGGATTTCATCAGAGCCAGTGCACACAATTGAAAATCTATTCACTCACAAATGAGTTCACTGTGTTTATCTAAACTCCAAGAGCTAAGTGTCAATTCCATGAGCACAGGGAACCTGATTTCTGGACCATCTATGCTGTTTCAGCCTGGGATCTAGAGACTTCCTAGGGAGTGTGGTATGGAATTTAATATGGCTGTGTCTGGTTGGCTAAAACAAACAAACAAAAACAACCACAACAAAAAACGACATGTTCACTTTTACCCACCTTGAATGGAAGAGTCCACATGCCCACCAGTCATGCATGCTGGTAATAGTATCCTATTTTGGCAGGGTTGGCCTTGCTGGTCAATTATTCTCAGCGATATGGCCATGTCATGGTCTCTGCAGATTGTCTTAAAATACCATTCATGCTCATCACTGACTCATAGTTAGTGGAGCTTATTAGACGCAATCAAAAGAATCTTATGCATTTATCACGAGGCTCTACATTAGTTTCCAACAAATGTGTTTGTTATCTGAATAGGTATAATTCCTGTATTTCATATCAATTCCCTTTATAAGCTTGTTCTCTTTGTGCATTTAACACACACCTGTGAGAAGGTGTTCTGTGCTTTTTACTGTGTGAATAGCCAAAAGAGAAGTCTCCTTTGAATTAGACAGCAAGTTCTCAGTAAACCTTTGTTTTTTAATTTTTTAAAAATAATATATAGGGGCAATATGGGGGCTCCGTGGGTAAGGCATGCCACAGTTAAAGTTCTAGATCCCATTTGGTTGAAGGTGAGAACTAACTCCCAAAAGTTGCCACCCCATCCCTCTGCCATGTAAAAATAAGTAAATACATCTCATAAAAAGAAAAAAAAACATAGCTCTCACCTCAAAGAGAATGAGAAATAGTTTATTTGTGAGCCAAATAAGAAAGGGCTGGGGACATGGACTCAGGTGGCCTGGAACAGCATGTCCACTGTGGAAATGGTCACATGAGATTTGATTAGCCTCAAAACTAAAGAAAGCCATAAGGCAATGCATTTATCAACATTGGTAGGTCCCACAAGTAGGCAAGTTATAATGGGTGAAGCTTCTGTAGGTTTCAGATGCAGACTATGGACATTTTTGCTCTTGGAAGCTGGTGGTCTGCTACAAATACGTGGTCAAAGGTTTTAACCCTGTAGTAAAAAAGATGTGAGGCCTGGTGTAGGAGCGAGCAATCAATGACAGTGAGAAGATCAAGGCTTGCCCAAGAGAACTTGACTCTAGACGTCAACATTCTAACTTTTCACACTCATGAGGTCATAATCTGTCATTCAGCATCGTAAAATCTTTCACAGAGATGTGGCTTTTTTTTTTTTTAATTTCAGTTTACACAACCAATTCTACTACTTCTGAGAATGCTTGTCCACGCCCCCGCCTCTAACTCCCCCATGCAAGTATTCAGCTTTTAAATGTTGCTGTCCTTTTCTTGCTCTGAACATTTCAGGTTCTCATTTTCTACCACTGTCCCTTCTACAAGCAATACCCATTCCTGTGGCCGGGAAAGAAAATTCCAGCACCGTGGGCAAACACCACAAGTGTGAACAAATTGATCCCCTTTTTGGAGACCACCCTGAGTGAGCGAGCTCCACGTGGGGCCTTCCATGTCTCCCAGGCCATCCTCACCCCAAGAGTGAAGACCATTGCCCGAGGCCTGGTGGGAGGCCTCAAGAACACACTAGTTCACAGGTAAGAGGTGGCTTCATCCCACAGGCAGGGTTTATGTTATTGTTTCATTGGTGGTGGTTGGTTAATTGGTTGGTGTGGTTAATTGACTGATTGTTTGGTTTGGTTGGTTTCCAGGTGGCCTTGAACTCATAATCTTCCTGCCTTTGCTTCCCTGATACTGGAATTATGGGTTCTCATATCTATCTCCCCCCACAGAAGAAGTTTGAACACACACACACACACACACACACACACACACACACACACACACACACGCTCTCGAGTGCGTGTGGGGGGGGTGCTATCCGTTCTTGTCTTGCAAGCATGAGAATCTGAGTTTAATTTCCAGAGCCTGTGCGAAAACAATCCTGAGAACAATGAACCCCTGTGATCCCAGGATCTCAGCTCTGAAGAAGCAGAAACAGCTGGATGCCTGAGGCTTACTGCCTGGCAAACCTATTTTAATTGGCAAGTTCCAAACCAGTAACAGACTGTGTCAAACAAAATGGATGGCATCTGAAGACTGACAGCCATGTTTTACTTCTGGCATTTCAGACAGGCACGGACACATGCACTCAAACACAAGTGCACCTGCATGAACACACACACACACACACACACACACACACACACACACACACACACACACATTTATCTTGATTTTATTCTAAATATACAATAGTAAAACTCTAGACTTTGAGCATTACAAAATGAGACAAACACACAAAAAGCAACTTATAAAATGTACTGCTGAAAAGCTGTGGATTCTAGGAGGATTACATGAATAGTACCCAAAGAATCCTTGGGCACTTTGCTAAAATGTTTGCATTATTCCATAAATACTCACTATGTTTTTATACTATGACAAGCACTGTGAGACAATGTCACTGTGTGTTATCTTTGTGACACATACCCAGGGTGATCCTTTTATTACCCAAGCAGCTGGCTGAGATACTCCCTGTTTAAGCATTAAACAAGCTGCTTTGCTCTATGCTGGGGACTGAAAGATGGTCCTTCAGGAATTTGGTCTTTCTTCTGTGTTGATCATGAGTCATGAGAACCATGCCACAGCCTGCAGTACTCCCTTGGGACAGAATTGGGCTTCATATACAGTCAATCAAGGATGTTCTAGTCATTTTGTATGAGATAATGGTCTTTGTCCTGGGCACCAGTGAGTGATGGATAAAGGATGCCAAGAAAGTATATTACATGTATATACACATGTGAGTATACATGTAGATTGTATTGTGTATATGAATATAGAGGGATGTTATAGGTGCACTTGGCTGTAGGCTATACTTTGTGATGCAAGCTTTGGAAACTAATGTATTTATGTTTTCTAAAAATTATATTTACAAGCATCTGTTTGGTTCTTGAGTTCTTGGTTCTGACTGCAATTTGGATAGTGAAATCTTTGGCCAGTCACATAGCCAGGCACATGCTCAGTCACTCTCATTTGGTTCTGAGTTTGGAGATCATGGTTTCAGATAATAGCCATGTGGCTAGTCAAGAGTTTAAAAGGCAAGCAACAACTGTACTCTACTTTCCTCCTGCTAATGTTAACCGTGGACAGAGCAAGAGGTTTTCCTATGCAGCTCTTCTAATTTGCAACCAAACTGACTGGAAGAATTCCACAGGCAGCATGATACTGCACACCTTCAATTCCCAGCACTTGGAAAGCTGAGGGTTGTGAGTTCAAAGCCAGGAGAGGCTATGAGTTGGCTATATGGTAATTATGATGGGGGAGGGTGTAAGGGTACAGTAGAGTGAGACAGGATCTCACTCTAGAGCTCATACTAGCCTCAAACTGACCAACTGCAATCCTCCTCCCTCAGTCTCCAAAAGTGTTGCTGGAGTTTCTTGTTCACCAGGTTCACCATAGCTGCCCGCCTTGCCCCCAAATGATCACACAGATGCTATATTAAAATAAAACTGTTGGCCAATGGCTAGGGCTTCTTACTGGCTAGCTCTGTCTTAATTATTAACCCATTTCTACTAATCTATGTATTTCCACGTACTCTTGACTTACCAGAGAATGCCCAGCACCATTTCCCCTTTGGCAGCTACATGGTGTCTTTTTCTGGTGGTGCCTCACTGCCTACCTTTCCCAGAATTCTCCTCGTCTCCTAGTCCTGCCTATCTTCCTGCCTCTATTGTCCAAACAGTGTTTTATTCATCAACCAATAAGAGAAACATATATACACAGAAGGACATCCCCTATCACAGAGTGATGGGATTATAAATGGGACCTACCATGTTTGACTTGAAAAAGAAATCTTAAACTAGTATGATCTCTTTAAAGGACCTAGAATTGTAAACTTTCTTTTGCATGTATTGATGCTCATGTTCCCCGTCCATTTTCCTTGTGCTTTTGGTAAATTTGTAGCTTAACATTATTTATTTATTCATTCAATAAAATTAGAAAATTTCAAGAAAAACAGAGAGTACTGAGGAAGAGGCAGGTGCCGAGCCACTGTTGAGTCCTGTAGCCTTGGCCATGGACAATCTTTCAGCAAAAATTAGCATGAACATTTCTCTAGAGCATTTTATTGCGTGTGAAGACCATGCCACTGCAAATCCATGTGAGCAATGGTTCCAATAGACTATTTCAGAGTAAGGATAAGCCCCTTATTATGAATAAAAGGCCCCTTTTGCAAATGATTTGGTATATGATGCTTAAATCCAGGTCAGCCTTTTGAGGAGAAGGGGACATTACCTAAGATTCTTTGTCCTCATGTAAGACAGTACTCAGGGAAGCTAAGTGATGCAACCTTCGGAGCTTTCAAGAGCCAAGAGTCTGTTGGGACTGAAGGGCTTCAGCCTGGGCAGTATGACCATTGATATGAGCAGGGATGGTGCCTGTGCCATGTTCCTTGGTGTTCCCCGGGCCCATGATTGAGTTAGTAGTGCCTGGATCTGGTCAGCTCACACTGGTCACCTCTGTTAACCCACAATGTCACTCACTACATTTTCACACTTCTTCAGTCTGGCTGCCCATGAATCCCAGCCTCTCTATTTAGTTGTAATGAAGATACCATGAGCCCAAAGGCAAGGTCTCCTTGATGATAGTGAGAATGTGTCGTTTAAATGAGTAGCTACCTTGGAATCCTAGCCCTCTTCTGGTCACAGGAGCATTAGGGGTGTGGTCCTACATTCCTGTGCCTACACATCAACTGAAAGCAGAAACCTGGATCTGGCCAGGAATCTGTTCCCAAATGTCAAAGAATCACAAGACTGTCATTTCACCACTGAGTAATCGTAGGCTCTCCCTCTGAGCACCAGCACCCCAAGAGGCTCTCCTAAATGGCTAACCACACAGGGGTTCTAGCGAGCTGATCCCAAGCACTGATCAGTAGCTCAAACCCAGGGAATACTGGGAGTGCCTTTCTGCTGCTGGAGGTAGTTTCCTCAGTGGGAAGCTTATCCCTAATAAGCAGATGAGCTTTGGACATGAGATTCTATTCACTTTGGTTCATCATTTTGGAAGGAAGTCACAAACATATACAGCCCATTCAAACTGAATTTCTGTTGTCATTTAGACTGGAAGAAACATGGAATTTGAATTCATAGTAGTCATAGTGAAATCCAATAAGGTGTGTTATGCCTAAGACTGAGAACCAAATGGCCACTGGAACTCTGGGAGGGGACAAGGACTGAGATAGGAGGCTCAAGGTAGAAGCCTATAGAATCCCTATTAAGATCACTGAACTGTGCTCCCTTCCCCAAATCCTTGAATTAAAATTCTAATGAAGCCAATGTGGTTGTGCATACTGAAGGGACCAGCTCCCTTTTCGACAGCCATAACAACCGAACACATGCTTGTCTGACCTTGTCCTAGACACTAGAAAGTCAGATGCCTGCCTCGTGACAAGGAACCAATCAGAAGTTAGCTGGTGACGCTATGCTTTACGACCCTGGGTGTACTTTACGGACAAGCGCACAGCAATGATGCGCAGAGCATAGCAACCACCCTGGGAGGGCCTATGGACCATAACAACCAGTTGGCCAATCAACACAAGGCAAGCCCTCCAAGCCTGGAGGCACACCAATCGTGAGCCTCTGCGTACCCCTAGACACTCCCCTTATGCTGCCCTACAAAATTTCTCTCTGCAGCGGTTCGAGCTGTCTTTGCAAGCCATCTGCCATGGTGGGTGAGTGAAAGACCCGAGCTAACATGGGGTTAGCTCATTAAATTACAATAAAGCCTCATGCAGTTTGCAGGAAGCTCTCAAATCCGCCTGGTGATTGGGGTGACCCAGGTAGTGGCCTGGGACCCCGGATACCTGAGTTTTCCGGGGGTCTAACAATACCTTTAGACCCAGCATTCCAGAGGCAGAGGCAGACAGATCTTTGGGAGTTTGAGGCCAGCTAGGCCTAGGTAGTGAGCCCCTGTCTCAAACTGTAGCAAGTTTTCTTGTTGAACTTTCTTATCGGACTGCAAGCCACCAATAGCACAGAGAGACATATTATTAATTAATAATAAGCTTGGCCTTTATTTTAGGCTTGTTCTCAGCTAGCTCTTATAACTTAAATTAACCTGCTTCTATTAATCTACATTCTGTCACATGACTTTTTACCCCTTTTTTTATTCTGTATGTCTGATTTCCTCCATGTCTCCCTGGCTTCTCTCTGGCACCTAGATTCATCCTGAGTTCCTCTCTCTCCCCAGAAGTCTCTCCAGCCTTGCCATTGGTCATTCAGCACTTCATTAAACCAATCACAGTGACACACCTTCACACAACAGAAACAAGTATCCCACAATATCAACTAGAATAAAACCCAATCGTACTGCTTCTGAATGTGAGTCTGTCTGGAGAAGTTGCCTTTTAAAGAGGTAATTAACTTGAAAGGCCTTTAGGGTGGGCCCTAATGAGCTCACACTGAAGTCCAAAAGAAATTTAAACCAAGAAGAGACAATAAGCATGGTGGGGCAAGCCAGTAAACAGATGAGAGGACATTCAAAGTCATCTTGGAATGTATGATACTATCTCCCAAAACAAACAAACAAAAAGCAAAGAGACCACAGCGATCTGTGTTTGTACATAGAGAAAATACCACAGAGGCAGGGGACTGTGGGAAGGAGGAAATCACCATCAAGCCAAGAATAAACACCTCAGATAAAGCCCAGCCTAGCACCATCTTAATCTTCAGCTGGCAGCCAGCCTCTAGAACAACAGAAAATGACTTTAGTTCTTTGAAGTCACTAGTGTATGTGTTGTTACAGCAGCTCGAGTGAGCTAACACAGTCCCCTGGGCAATCGGGTGACCCCGCACAAGTTCTTGTCTCTGGGTTATGCTTCTCTTCACCACTGAGAAAAACACCTCATGGGACTGTAGTCTGAAGCTGACAATGCCTGTCACCGTGACTGGTAAAGAAACGAGGTGACCTCAAGGTCAGAGGGAAGATTGAAATCCAGTGCCATAGCCCAGCCTTCTGCAAAGAGCTCTGTTCCTGGTCAAAGCCAGTGGGTTCTCCATTTCCCTTTACATCATCCGGTTCACTTGATAGGAAGCTTGACACATGTAACCCAAAGCTGACACAGACCTCTTTGTCCCTGGAGACCACAGGTACTTAGATTTTTCAAAAAGCTCCCCGCACACTCCTGAAGTCCTACAAGGAATGGCTCCAGCAGCAGTGAGGGCTGTCAAGAAGCATTTCTTCAGAATGACCAGCAGATGGCGCAAGATCCCCAAACATGGGCACTGACAAAGGATATTTTGAAACCATGACTGCAACAGGTTCCCTCTACCTTCATTTGGAGGGCTCCGAATTTTTGGTCTTTGTCTCTAACAGGATTCTTTGTTTTTAGCTCCCCATCTCAACATACTGTTGTGTGGATATATTAAGGAATTTCTTACCCCCACTCCCCAGATCTTTTTCTCTCTGCTTTTTTACTTGTTTATGATCCCTTTTTCTTGGCCAGACACATGCAGTAAGCAGGCTTTGTCCCGAACAATTTCTATGTATGTACTACTGTCCTATCTTTCTGATGCACCCTGTTCCACAGGGAACTAGGAATTTTAGTAAATTGAGATCTCTAAGAGTCCCTTCTAAAAAGAGAAGGGCAATCGTGAGTCATGACCAGCTATCAAAATAAAAATGTAAATTGATCTGTAAGACTTTTTTTTAGCCCATGGTAGACTGTAGATTCCAGCCTACAACTTTAGTTCCAGGATCCAACTCCATTTCTAGATACTGTGAACACCCCTACATACACATGCACACACCCTCATAAGGACATATTCATCTTGTTTTTAAGAAAAACAAAAAATAATTGATAAATTATGCTCTATCAAAATTAAGGAGTAGTTCAAGCCCATCAAAATATTTTACTTAGAAAATTAAAGGCAAGCTACAATGATGGGGGATGTCCTTCTGTATTCTGTGAATAGATGTTTCTCTTATTGGTTGATGAATAAAACTGTTTTGGCCAATGGACAGGCAGGATGTAGCCAGGCAGGAAGTATAGGTGGGGCTACCAGACTAGGAGAATTCTGGGAAGAGGAATGCAGTGAGTCGGGAGAGAGATGCTATGCAGCTAGGAAGCCTGGACATTCTCCAGTAAGATAAGGCCATGTGGAAATACATAGATTAATAGTTATTGGTTAATAATTAAGAGAGAGATAGCCAATAAGGAGCTGTGCAATTGGCCAAACAGTTTATAATTAATATAAACCTTTGTGTGTTTATTTGGAACTGAATGGCTTCGAATTAGACGGACAGAAACCTCCATCCACACTACAGGCTAAAAGAAATGTTGGCAAAAATATTTCTTACAAAAAAGCTAGTATCAAGTATATAAAAATAAATTCTAAAACTCAACATTTAAAAGAACGAAGGGCAGATACTATCAAAACACATTGCATGAAACTCTTAGAGAACAAATGAAAATACAAAAAAACTAAAAATGTTTGAAAACTAAGTGGGAAAAAATTGTCAAAGTGTTGAGTAGATACTTGTAAAAAGAAGGTACATAAGGGGTCAGTCTACATTCCCATCAGTCCTTATGCTTCAACTTTCCATGTGCTTGGATTATAGGCATATGTCACCACACTTGGTTTAGAATGGCTAGACTTCAAAACACTAGTGGGACCAATTTTTAGGGATAATATTAACTGTCCAGAACTTTTCTGCTCTTTTGGTGGGACTGTGAAGTTGAACGGTCCCTTTGAGGAAAGGTCTGGCAGTTTCTTATAAAACTAAATAGAAATAAACCCTATCATAGACCAGTTTTGTCCCTTGATTTTTATCCAAGAAAAATAAAATGATGCCCATAAAAAGACTCATAGAAGAATGCCCATAATAGTTTATTCATAATGACCCAAAATTAAAAACAATCAGTGTATCTAACAATAGGAAAATGGATAAGCTGTGTCTATAGTTATACAATGGGATATTGCATGGTACTGTAAAAAGAAAAAATGCAATTAATCACATGCATACTGACATATGTAAGGGACTTTATGTGTTTTCAAGTGGAATATGTCAAAAATAGAAGCATCATTGATAGGAAGATAGTGATGTATTAATAGACATGTGGCGAACAAAATAATAACATATTAGTAGTAGGAGATAGGTGATGGGTCCACTTACTATAAAAATTCTATCTGTTTGACATATGTTTGAAATTTTTCATGAGGAGCCCTAAGAACCTAACAATAAAAGGACTGTTGGATTTGCTGTTATGAGGTCCTGTTAACATGGCTGTCTTTTTGATACTGTAAGCAAATGAGCTCTTGCATAAGAGAAATCTTGGAAAGGCAAGTTCTCCAGTGGAATGCTGACTACATATTGAAGGGGGCATAAGGGTTAGGTAGCCCCAGGGGCTTGTGCATTTCTGATATACTTTTTATAGTAAGAAAAATGTCTTATTTCCATTTCTGGAGTTGTCATTCTAACCACTACCTGTCATTCTAACCATCTGTCTTTTCTCTTTTCACCCAACACTTTCTCTGCATAGGAATCTCCCTGCTATCCTTGACTGGGTGAAGACCCAAAAGCCTGGAGCCATGGGTGTCAATATCATCACATCTGACTTCGTGGACCTGGTGGACTTTGCCACGACCGTGATTGAGTTGAATGACCTTCTAGAGGACAGAGCTCTGACTAAGTGCTGAATTAATGCTTTGTTTAATTGAATGTTGAGATTGTGGATTGAAGGTAGGGTTCTCGAGGGTTCCAGTTAGGCTGGCTCATTCCTGGGCAGTCATGGTGAAGTGAGGAAGAGAAAGAGGGCCCTCCAGGCATTCCTCACATAGCTATTTGGATAAAACTCCAGGTACTTTCATTGCATTTCCCCCAATGAGACTTTTAAAAGCTGAAGTCTAAGGGACGAATGCATATTTTCTTATGGTCAAGGCCAGGATCTACCCAGTGGCTTATGGCGGCAAAGGATCTCAATCATCCCAGCTTCCTATTGTCTTCTGGGAGCATTTGAGCCTGTGTTAAGGCTAAATTGGAAAGGCATTCCTGGTCAGCACAGTAGCAATGGCACATGTAAGCACTGACCACCCTCTGGGAAGTTTCTGCTATCAACCTAGAACTCTGAGGGGTCCTCAGGAGCCAAGCACCAGGTTCTTTCTTGAACTGTACAATATCACCACTTCTCTATGAGAGCAAGATGTGTTTATTACCACACTGCTCAGCCACAGGCTGGCTCTGGAAGTGGTCCCCTTAATGCTTCATATAAACAGTGCATACTACCCTTGGCATCAGAAATGTATTTCCCGATCTTAAAGTATTGCTTCCTTTCATTTCCCTTTGGGCCACCTCTTTAAAATGAAAGGGACAGTGGTAGGGAATCTTTTGTGTGAGGGCCCAGTAAGAGCTAAACATGCATGTTTGTTGCATGCCAGAATTCTTTGATTTAATCCTGTAGCTTTCTCCCCCAAATGACTATCAGGCAAGCACCTGCATCATTTTGGCACAGTCTTCTTTGGAGCAAGGTCTTCGAGCCTGATACTGGAATCACATTTATTGTTTGCTGCTTGGGACCCTATGCTAAGTAGAAGGCTGCTTGTCCGTGACAAAATGGAGGCTGACACTGGATGTGTGGGGACGTGCAATGCCATTAAAGGAGCGAGTTCCAAGTGGGTTTGGAGCCAGCCTGTAACTCCTTACAAACAAGACTACCTCGGGGACATTTAGGGTGACATATATTGTCAAGTGAGAAAAAGAAAAGCAATGCTGGAACATTTCCACTTCTTTTTCCATTTGGTCTTTTTTCTCTGGGTTGTTCTGCCAACTAACCACCACGGCATGAGGGCTTGGAAACTCAAGAGGGAATCTTTTTTTAATTGATAAGAGGAAGTTTTTTTTTTAATTGATAGGCACCCTCTTGTTTCCTCTGCTTTGTTTCTGTACTTATTTATTCATGGAGTAAGTATCTGCAGTGCTGATCGCCTCAAGAGCACTCACACAGATGTTTACTGGACTTTTCCTACCCAGGATGGATGCTGCTGTGGTCTTCCACCCAGGCACTGGATGGTGCATCTCAGGACTGTGAGTGACTTGTACTTTGCTGTAGACGTCCTACCCCACCCCAGTCCTGCTAAGGGTGGTACATAGGTACGGATGTGATCTAGATCCAGGAAGCCGCTGCCAAAGGCATACACCGTGACGGAAGTGAAAGGGCCATGAAAAACTACCCAGGCACTTTTGTCGAGCATCGGGAAGAACGGAGCTAGGAATAACAGCTTAACACAGACATGAGCATGCTCTGATACCACTTAGAGCTATCTCAGAATCCCATGGGAGGTGTCAGATTCCAGATTCCTAAGAAGGACTATAAACAGGCAATCCTGAGGGGAGGAGTGGCAATTGCAGAGACTGCTGGACCCTCTCCTAGGAGTTCTCACTTGTATCCTTGGTTTCCTAGTTAGATTGTGTGTGCTGACTGCAGTGGGGATATCTTGAGTGAGCTATTGAAAACACACGCATGCCCCTCACTGCTGATTTTCTGGTCTTTTTTTCTTCCTGAAGTAATTTAGGCCTTGACTTTTTAATCTCCATAGTTCACAGAGGCCAAGCACAAACGCCTCTGGGAAAACCTGATTGAACTTCTCCTGTTCTTGAATTTTTATCCCTCCCAGAGAAGGCTTCCAGAATGATCTTGTCAAATTTGGTGGAGCCTTCTTCCCTGCATGGGGCTTCCTTGTTGTGTAGGAGTGTGTACCCTCATCATCTTAATTTCCCATCAAATATGATTCTGAGGGCTACAGAGATGCTCTGGAAACCTTAGCCTACCCTCAGGTTTTTATTTATTTTTTTATTGTTGCATTTTGTATTTGTTTGTTTCTTTGTTTGTTTTGGTTTTAATTCTCCATCAGTTTCCAGGGACTAGATCATTCTCCATCCCATTAACCCTTTGTTACTTGGCAAAGAGAAAAGGGGGCAAGAGGAGAGCCATTCTGCTCTGTGTTATTGGAGCCTCAGCTTTGTCCAGATGCTTGGTGCTATGGGGCTCGGTGTGTCAGCAGGTATCTGCACCGGATACCTGTTTCCCTTTAAGGCTGCAGACTGTTCAGTGAATTGTTTACTTCATCTCTTCCCTTTGTTCTTAAATGCACAGTTGTACCACACTTATGACATGCACCTCGATGTTTGCATGCTGTACCATGAAGCATGACACAGAAGCACAGCACACTTCCAAGGCCACGTGTACAGCCCTCCCTGCTCCCATTGTGAGAGCGTGCACTGACTCTTCCATGCTGCTTTAGGGTCTCGGCCTTTTTGATGTTTTGAGAGTCTGAGAGGTTGCGGGAGGATTATTCACAGTTTTCTCTAGTAATTACTGAAATCTCTGCCCAAAGACAAAGGCTTCCAATGCTTTAAAGGCTGCATGTATTCTGTTCCTTGAAGACCAGGCAGAAAATTGGGGTTGGAGAGAATGACAACAGAATATAGACCCCACAGCTCATTTTGCAATAGTTACCAGTAAGAATTCTGACCCAAATGTAAGATGTGTCCTTGAAAATCAAAATAAGACTCTCAGATCAAAGTGTTCAGAATCAATTTCAAGAACAACTGAAATGTTGCCCATTAACTTAGTTTCACAGAAGTTGGGGTCATTTCTACTTGGAAATTTAACCTAGTTCTTCATGAGCTCTCTGCACCATTCCTTGATGGCCAAGACAGTTCTAGGTTTCTGTGAGTTAAAGCAGTGTTCCAAAGCTTGCACCTTGAGCATATCAGAAGTTCCATGTGTGTGATGGATAGAGACAATGTTCTTAGGACTGAACAGAGAGCTCAAGGTGGGGCGGATGGAAGCGACAGTGAGTGTTTGAGGATTTGGACTGACATCATGGCAGTCTTAGAAGTCATGCAAAAAACAAAACAACAACAAAAAACCCTTATATTTGCTGCTTGAGATTTGGTCCTTTCCATTTTCTTTAGTGCTGGGTCTAGACCCTTGAATGTTGTAGAACATTTAATCTAGAGTTCAAATCCAGGATTTTATATACATGAAAAGAAAAGCACAAGACCTGAGCAGAGGTAATGACAAACCTTAGGAATCTCAGGTCTTTCATAACTTCATGTTCACATCGGAAAATGTATGCTCCTACCCAACACAGCAATGATGTGAAGCATTGTGAGATTAAATGGAGCTATCTGATGTGTCTGGATATCCATGGGGTTTTCTTCATTCTTACCAGTGAGAAGCAATCCCAAAGAGACATGATACAACCTGCCATTAGCACACAGTGGAAGGTGGGGACCCAGAAGAAATTCATGTGAAACGAAACTGCTGTTTTCTCTGAGAAGCAAAAGGACTAAAAAGTGACATCATTACAGAAGTTTTATAATGCACTTGATTGTTTATTAAGTTCTGAGAAAGAAAACAGGAGAATGAACAGGCCACAGCCATGAGATCTCCTCCCTTAGCTGAGCAACTGATTCTGGGCTAACCTGTCCTTGGTTCTTTCATCTTTAATAATGATGCAAATCTCAGTTGACTGGTTCATGCAATATATAAGGTCTTAGGGCTCAGCCTGAATGTCTCGCACTCTGGGGATGTACTTTTGCAGTGATTCTTCCTTCTGTACACGTGTGCAGAGAATATGGTTAGGGTCATTATCCAAGAGTGTGGTACAGGCTGATTGAATTTGACTATGTATTATACCTTCTGGAATCTATATACTGTGTGGGGCTCAAAGAAATATGCCCAAGTGCATGTTGGCCCCTGAGACCTGGGCTTTCTCAACATGTCAAGAGGAAACAACAGACACTGCAGTTATGAAACATCCAGGCTGAAAGAACCCTGATGAGGGACAGCATAGAGGAGCATGGATGGCCCTCTAGAGTCCATTGTCTGTTTAGTACATCTTAACCCTCTGCGAAAGCTGCTTCCTTGTAGTTGGTATGCAGTGTCATTTCTCAATAGTGTCACTGTGGGACACAGGAGAGTGAAGTCACTGAATGACAAGTGGTGTCAATATAAACTTCCCCATAATTCTAGATGGCTCTAATCAGCTCTTTACTGCCCCAAGTGACCTCCGATTTCCACAACCTTTGGATTCCCCAGTTTCCTGCTATAAACACTGGCACTAATGGCCATATGTCTGAGCTAGCCTAACTCAGAAGCAACCCTACAATGATGCTGGTGATTTTAAGAATTAGCAAAGTTTTAGAAACTGTCAAAAATATTCTAAGATAAGGATATTTGGCTTTGGATACTGTGTTTTAGCATCAACTCCAGCAAACTTGTCCTAAGATTCATCAGACCCATTTTAAAACAAAATGTTTTGAATAAGCCCTCCACTCTTTGGGAGAATTCAGAATTGTAGGCTGTTTAGGCAACTGCACCAACAGTCTAGAGGCATTTTCTGTCATCACAGAATGCTTTCTCCTGTCTCCTAGCACTCCCCACCATCTGCCAATGATTGCATCACAAGATGCTGACAAAAGGTACTCTCTGACTGTAATGGTAGTTGTTTTTTGTCTTCTTAAATGCATTTTTTGCCTCCTGCTCCCAACCAGTCATTAAAACTATGCTTAATTGGAGTCCTGAAATTGGGACCAATACTTAATTCAGATAGCACAGGCTTGCTCACAGTGTTAAGCCCACTAGGAAGCATAGCACTTTGGAAAGTCATATATAGGCCTTTGGCAGCTCTGTACAGTTGCAATGTCACACCTATTATAAGTTTATAGGACTAATAACAAGTCAGTTATAGATCTATAGAATCAAGATGATAATCTTAGATCATATTCTAGAAATAATATTACCTTGCTGCTACTAATTATTACCCCAGTATTCATAAGTATTAAATGCAGGTTGTGTATGCATTATTTGTATTATGGGTATGCCAACTGTAATACTTAGCCCTCCTGATCAGTAATTTAAAATTACAGGAACTGTCATAGTAAAAATAAGTCTTGGTCAGTTCAGATAACTCATGTATCTGATAAACGCTGTAATGGAGATTATGTTTTATTTTCTATTACTTGATTTACATTGCAATGCATGTGGTTGCTAAACTTAAGAAATAATAATCAATTTTTACCAATATTAAGATTAGGGATAAAATTGTGCATATATGCTACTTGATACTCTGAAATGTATTTTGTGGCTTGTCACCTTCATACACATTTCACTTGACTTCTTTCCCTTTAGGAAATAATTGTTCAGTTATATCTCTTTTCTTCTTTCTTGTAACTTGAATTAATCACATGATTCATCCTAAAATATTGTGAAGCCACAATACCTCATTTTAACTGTGAAAAAAAGTATTAATAAGTCTGATCATATGATGTATTTCCTTGTATTTGATTTGAGCCACTTATCAAGGTATAATCTTAGTAATAAACATGAATCTTTAATAGCCATGTTTCTTTGGTTTGAATGAACTTTTTCTTACTGACCTATGTCTAACTTTGTTTCGAAGAGCTGAAGATTCCGTATCAAGAAGACTCATCTGAACCCATCTGCACTCCCTAAGATGGACAGTATACTCCAGTCATTCCTGTTAAAGTTAGCCCAGACCTTAGTGACATCCAGAGTCCCACTTGATCACCATCTCTGGCTCACCTAATTTGAATAATTGCTGGATGCCAAAATACTCAGAAATGACCTAGCCATTCACACAATGAATAAATAAGAGTAAACTGATGTTTCTGTTGCAATGGAGATTACAGTATTTGTCTTCTAGTAATTTTTTAGTGGGATATCTAAGTCTATTTCATTTCTTCAAAGCCACTCCCCATTTTTTCCATATAAGTTTCCAAAATAATGACTTGTTTTAAAATCCTTTGTATGAATTTAGCAGAGATCAAATTTATTTGAGTGGTTAATGCATCTCAACAAAGCCAAATGTTGGAGCAAGAAATTAAGATTGCCAATGTATCTGTTAAGGCAACCTCTGCAATTTAAGAACAGCCCCAAAGTGGGGTGTTTCTGTCTGTATTCAGCTGTTGTTTTAGGAAATCTGCCACACCAGATCTGACCAACTTTCATGCGCATGTGATCGGGGATTCCCATTTGTTTTTTAAAACTTGCATTTGTATATAATGTATGAGTTCTACAAAATACCAGGCTTCATCATTATAACCTCATGTATGTGGTAGGCTATGACCAGGCCCAAAGTCAAGCAAAGTGGGTATGATCTGTGTGGCATAAGTGCAGAGATATTTGTCCTTCTTCAACTTCTGAGCAAGTACTTTGATGGAGACATTGCTTCTGTGACAAAGAAGCTCCTGCGTTATGGATGGACTCTGTAATACCCAACCACAGATTAATTTCTCGTGTCACTGCCCAGGCTAGAAGCACAGCACATTCTCAATCCTAAGTTTCTATATGAACTCCATCACCTCCAGCTGTGTGAGCTTAGGCAAAGTGTGTGTCTGAATCTCTGTGTAGAGTTTGTGGTGCTGAGTAAGCATGCGGTAGCAGATATTATAGCTAGGGGCTGTGACTTTGCACATCCACTCTCTAAGTAGCACCCAATATCATGACTTTAACATAGTTGCCTGACGACACACATGTTGATTGGATGGCTTGTCAGAAACTCTTCACTGAGACCCAGGTGGTAACTTTAGACAGTGTGATCCACTTGTGGGAGCTTTGCCGCAAAAGGTCTGCATGGCGTTGGGTGCCTAGACTTAGTTCATTCTCATTCTTCCCTACCCCGATTATGGGGAGGGAAATCAACGGAGCATAAAGAAGACACCGGAGACAATGACTAGGAAGTAGTCACCATCTATATTTCTAGATTCAACCACCAGAAATGGTGATTATTTCTTGAAATATATCTTAGAAGGAATTAATGAAAATATGTTTTTTGGTGTCTAGAAAGGTCTGAAATTCCTGCACCAAATAAGTGTAGTTCACAGAGTAGGAGTCATTCCATGGGAGACATACATGGTGCTGTGGGATAAAGGTGGTCATGTCCTTAAATAAAATGATTTCCATTAACCATTTAGTAACTCCTATCAATTAAGAGTGAAGTCACAGTTGAGGGAGGAAACAAACCTTTTATCATCTAAAGAGAAAGAAGCAGCAGGATCCAGCTAATGTTCAATTTCATTTTGCTTGCATTCTATTTAGTTATTTTGCCCTTTCTTTGTAAAAGTGGTTTTTCAATAAAGGTAGAAATTTCCCTTTCAAAATAGATGTATGCTTTTTAAAGAATACATTCAGGAGAAACTATAGGAATAACCTCCATTTCTGACTCTTTCTAGATTTCTTTGGATGGGGGCTGCAGCTGGTGTGACCACACACTCTTCACTAGAACTGAGCTAGGCAGTGCTCTTTCTTAGATACTCTTTGCCCATGAAATACACATGTGGGCTACTATGTGAGATATCAAAAAATCAGCTCCTCTTCTTGTCAGAAGGGAACCTCATGTTTTCTGTGCACTTTCATCTTCCACATTTGGAACAATTCATACCGGAGGGAAGAAAAGGTCTTTGTGTCAATCCCACCCATGGACACTTTGGGTGACTATTGAATGCAGAGAACAAATCCCTTGTTTCACCCTTAAAAATGATTCCCTTTCTGTGAATTCCCAAGGTTAAGATGCCTGAAAGTCCTAGATATTTTAGTGCAAGGGTAACATTTTTTCCCCAAAAGGAATTCTTCCAACCAGCAGCATATTTTTGTTTTCCCCTCTGTAAATCTGTTCCCTGTGACCAAAGGTATGTTATTGTTTTGAAGACTTCAGTCTCACAGAGGGTGAGATGTTGCAATTTAGGGACAGTGGCTGTGTGCCTCAGACCTCACCCAGGATGGCCTGGACAAGTGTCAAACCAATGTGTTTTCACAGATGGTCAATGTTTGGGGGTAGCATGGAGTTTGGAAGAACATAGAAGGGTGGGCTTCTGTCCACAAGCATCATGTAACAGCAGGCTTAGGAAGTCAGGTGGCTTTACCTTAGGGACCAAGCATCTAATCAGTGGGATTTATCCTGGAGAGAAAGGTATGAGAAGCAAAGTTCTTATTACATAAGAAGGCCACTGAAAGCTAATCTTTGTTTAACCTGGGGACTCAGATGCTGTGGGACCTGAAGACTTTCTTGCTTGATCTTCATTGGATGTTCACTCAGTCAAGGCCCAGGAGACTTCATTTTATTCCTCTGCGAAGCATAAGAGGGAGAAGATGGTAGACAGACTTCTGCTAGAGTCATCAGCCTTGTGACATTACCACACATCAGAAATTAGTCCAAGAGAGCTGAAATGCTGTAAGATGATAAAATAATGTATAAGAATCTCAGCTAAATGTGTCCATAGCTTTTATCGGATTCTCAAAAGACAATCTCTATTTCTGGGGCAAGAGAGATGGCTCAATGGTTAAGGGCCTCTAACGGTTCTTCGAGAGGATCCATGTTTGCTTTCCAGCATCCACGTTGGGTGACTCAGAGGCACCTATAACTCCATTCCCAGGGAATTTGACTTCTTTCAGCCTCTATTGGCACCACCACTCACATGAACATACCTGCCTCCACAGACACACATATGAATACTGTTTAAACAATAAAACACATTTTTTAAAAATGACCTTAAGAAGTTACAAACCACTGACTTTCAGTAGCTGTCAAATGAAGTACCGCTTAAACTCTGCAAAGCAAATCAGTATGGCTAATTTAGGCTACTACCAGAAAAGTTTGGTCCGCCCTACTAAAAAGAATTAAGACTCATGTTCATTCATTCATTATAGGTATTCTATTTTGGGAGACAAAGTCAGAAAAAAATCAGATAAAAAGACCACACTGAGCCTGAAGGATCTTATGGAATAGTTAGATGGACTGTAGCAAGAGAGGAAGCAGGCTCACTGGTAGATATGGTGAGGTTTGGATACCTTGTACAGTCTGGATACCACCTCTCAGAAGGAGGTGAATAAATGAGAACTCTCTATGAAGCATAACTAGAATGAAGGATCCAGAAGTTATGTAAGCTGGGAAGTGTGGAGAGGAACTATAAAATGGAAACTTAATGTGGGTATCTCTAATGCTTTCAAGTTGTTACATGACAGATTTAAGATTGTTGTTCTTTATTATTTTATGTGTATGGGTGATTTTGCCTGTATATATCTACACACAATATGCATGCACAGTGCCTGTAGAGGGCAGAAGAGGGCAGCAAATCCCCTGGTACAGGAGTTACAGATGGTTGTTAGCAGCTGTGTTAGCAGACCTGGATCCTCAGAAAGACCAGTCCAGTTCTCTTAACTGCTGAGTGTAATGATAACTCTTTCATCAACTGCCTGAGTTCCGCCGCCACATTAGGGCCCCCAAATAACACACAGAGTCTTATATTATTTACAGTGCTGCTGGCCAATGACTAGGATTTCTTATCTGTTAGCTCAGTCTTAATTATCAACCATAACTATTAATCTATATATTGTATAAGGATGTATCTTATAGAGGACACCAGCGGAATGTGTCCTCTTCCCAGAATCACCTGGTGACTCCCTCTTTACTACATTTCCCAGAATCCTCCTTCTCTCCTAGTCCCACATAACTTGCTTCCTTATTGGCCAACAGTGCTTTATTTATCAACCAATAAGACAAACATATACACAGAAGGACTTCCCCCATCAGCTGAGCCATCTCTCTGGCCCAGATTTCGCTTTCACATTTAAACATTTTAAGACTTTAGATATAGAGAGGGTGAAAGAACACTCATGCCAGGCGAGACTCTCACAAGAAAACAAAACAAGCAAACCCTGATTAGTTGAAGTCCAGGCTCTGTGTCTCTTCCTGGTGCAGTTTCCCACCATTTCCAGCTGCCTCCCCTGGCACCATGGGTGCAGGGAATAACCAGGGCAAGTCCTTACCATTTCAAAAAATTGAGACTGACTGAATAAGAGCATTCCCTGGCGAGAGGATGCTAAGAGACTATCACTACGCAAGGCGTGCATTATCAATTACCTATCGCCACACAAATTGCATCTAACTTGATAACTCAAAACAATACAAATCCATACCTGGCAGATATCAAGTCAAAGGTTTAAAATGAGCCACTGAGACCATGTTCTCTCTCACAGTCCTCAAGGAGGACCCATTCCATTGTCTTTCCAGCAGTTAGAAGATGTCTACATTCCTTGATTCAGGATCTCTTTGTCTATTTTCCAAGCTGGTAACATTTCATTTTTAGTATTTGACTCTACCTCTGGCATTACATAGCCTCTTGTTTTGACCTCTCATGATTATATAAGATTCCACTTAAATAAATTACAATAATCTTCCATCTCAAGATCCTTAATCTATAAGGCCACACCTTTTTCCTAAAGACATATAAGCAGTTGGCTGCTGAGAGATGAGAGGCATTTTCTTCAATGGTGCAGTTACTGGTGAGTTGTCCATGTTCCTATAAGTAACTCTAATTAAATTAATT